GCTCAGCCCTTGGCAGGAGCAGCTGCCGCTGGATTTGTAAACACATGAAAGCAAGTTCCCATTGCCCCCCTCCAATCAAAAAACAGCTGGCCTGCCTCCCCCAGCCCAGACCCAGCAGGGTCCCCTCAGGCCTAAAAACCACCCCAGAGCTTTACGCAGACACCCGGGGGACACAGAGACTTTCTGTGCTCAGATCAGTAGCTCACAATTTGAAGCCAGGGAGCAAAGAGGCTGCAGGACCCTGAGACAAGCAAGCCAACCTCACGTACCTCCATCAGGCCTCCTGCTCAGCACTCAGAGCAAGGCACGAGTGAGAGAGGCAGTAGCCCTGTCTTATCCAGCTTACGGAGCACAATTAAGGTCCGGAGAAGGCTCCACCTTGGAGGCCTGTTTGGAAGCAGGTTGTGGTTCAGTGAAAGCACAGAGACCACCTATTCTTAGAGTCTACATGGGCTCATGGGGGAGGTCTAGGTTGGATATTGGGAACAACTATGAGCCTAGGAGGGTGGGGAAGCCTTGGGGTGGGTTCCCTAGGGAGGGGGGTGGAATCTCCATCCCTGGAGGTGTTTTAGTCCTGGCTTCACACAGCCTTGGCTGGGATGATTGAGTTGGGTTGGTCCTGCTTTGGGCAGGGGCTGGACTCGATGACTCCTGAGGTCTCTTCCAGCTCTGGGATTTTATGATTCATCCCCGTAGTCCCCAGCTGAGCATCTGCACTGGGAGCGGTAGGTGTCCCAGCACCGCCGGGGAAGCTATGGATGCAACCCCACCCCACTGGGCATCCAGAATGGGATGTGCTTGCCCTGCCACCATGTCCTCACACGCCCCATCATGACCTGCCCACACCATGCAGGCGAACTCGTGCTGGTGGGGGCAGAGCCACCTCCGATACGGAGCAGGGACAAACCTGTCCCAAAAGTAGGACTGTCCGGTTTAACCCCAGACACCTAGCCTGTTAGCTGTGGGTAGCTCAGCCCACACGCCGTCCACCTAGATCTGGTCAGAAAATAACCTTTCAGCAAAATAATTAGATCAATTTTGAAATGTTTCTATTCAAAATGGTGCTGCATGGGAGTAATGGTTTAGCTGCCTTCTGCTTCCATTCCCGGATGGGCTCTATGGTAGGACTACATCTCCCATGATGCACCACTCTCTCCTCCTCAGTGAAGGGAGGGGCTGTAGCACAGGACTCCTTATGGGATAGGTAGGGTAGAGGGGTAAGGGGACATTTACAACTTAAAGTCACTTCCCCACTGTCCTGCCCTGTGCCCTGAGAGCGAGAACCCAGCCGTACTGCGGCAGAGTTTCTGCCTTCCTTTTTTATTTGAATTAAAGATAAATCACATCCTTATCTGTACATCTCCCCTTGGAGAAACTCGACGCACTTTGCCCGAAACACAAGGAAAGTGCAGGCTACGTTATCGGAACAGTACAGCAGCTGTGAATAAATAATGCCCTATGCTTGCGCAGGTAAACATCTACTTGGTCTGACCCTCTCAGGTCTCCCAAGCCTCCTCCCAGTCCTTGGGTGCGTGTGGAGGGGGTGAAGCCACGTTGGCTCTTGGGATATTAAAGGGGCTTTTGTAAATCAAGGTACGGCATCTCAGGGATAGCCCCTGCTCTCTCCAGAGGCCAGTTGCCTAGCTCTGTATTGTCCAGGGTGTTGGCGTTCTTGTCAGCTTTGCAGCAGATGTACTGGCGCCAAATCTGGAGGAAGGTGACCCTGAATTTTTTGATGCGGAAGGCATAGACGATGGGGTTCATGGCCGAGTTGCCGTGCGTCAGGAAGATCGCGATGTAAGTGAGGATGCTGGGGGTCTGGCAGGACGGGCAGAACAAGGTGATGCAATTCAGCGTGTGCAGAGGGAGCCAGCTCAGTGCAAACAGGAAGAGCACCAGTGCTAAGGACTTGGCGATCTGCAGCTCCTTCCCGTAGTATTTCTGTGGATCCGAGGAGTTGGCCGAGACCTTCTTGTTGAGCTGCTTGCGGATGAGGTTGAAGACCTCCAGGTAGATGATGAGCATGAGGAGCAACGGGGGTAGCACCCAGACGAAGAAGTTGAAATAGACCATGTACTCCATGCTGATGACGTTCTCAAACTGGCAGGGGATGACGAAGGCCGCGTGGCTGGCGTTCGCCTCCTGAGTCCTCATCTTGTTCAGGTTGTTCCAGCCGAACATGGGGGTCAGTCCCACAAGGAGGGACACGATCCAGCAGCAAGCAATGGCCACGGCCGCTCGTTTGGGGGTCACCACGTTCTTGTAGCTGTGGAGGAGACAGAAAACACCGCGGGGCTTTAGACACGGGCGGAGTCACAGCTTGGCTCCAGCAAGAGGAGACCAAGCAGCCTGATCTGCAGAAGAGCCCACGATGGGTGCGTGCGGGGTACTGAGCTCTTTGGAGCACCCACCCATAGGTGTGTAGAGCCGAGGGACTCTGGGTGTCGGCAGGAGGGATTGAACCTGGGACCTTAGGAGCTAAAGCCACGTGCCTCTGTGATGGGGGTGGGGAACCTGTTTTGAGTTGGGGGCCACTGACCCACAGAAAAATCAGTTGGGGGCGGCACACAAGTGAGATGTGGGCCCTGACTGAGAAGAAAGACACTCCCCCCATTGCCCTCCCACACCAGAGCGTGGGGCAGCGGGAGAGCTGGAGCGTCAATGCGGGCTCCCCAATGCTGGGGCTGAAGCTCGGGGACCAGATCCAGCCTGCTCTACAGCATGAGCTGAAAGCACCTGGCTCGCTCAGCTAGGGCTGTAGCGCAGACGTCTCTCTCCCTCGTCAGAGGTCTGGGTGCCGCGGGAGCAGAGGTGAATGCCTGAGGAGGGAGGTGATGGCGAGGCAGGGGGGGCGCTGAGATGAGATGGAGAGGCAGAGGGGCAAAAGCAGGCTGGGCAGGGGGCTGCGAGGAGAAAGCTATGCGGGGGGAACATTTGGGGGCAGAGAGAAGCATGGGGGCTGATTTTTTTGAGGTAAATTAGACGATTTTTTGAGGTAAATTAGAGGATTCCCATCCAGCAGAGGAGCAGGCTGGCTCCCAGGGCAAGGCCCGAGAGTTGCTTGTGAGCTGAGCCCACGTTCTGCGCTGCTGGTTTACACGCCGGGAAGCAGCGGGTGACACAGGAGAAAGGTGCCATGGCGTTAAGATCCAGTCAGGAACCATGAGGTTCCTGTGAGGTTAGGCAGAGCAAGGCCCAAAGAGGGTAGCGGGTCAGAGAATTGCCTGGTTACCGGTTCACAGCTCGGTTGCATTAGCCGTGGCTGGAAACAGAACGCTCCCCTCCCAGCGGTGGAAGCATTTCACACTCACTCTGCCCGGGGGGAGAATCAGGCCCTGAGGTCCCGTGACAAAGGCACACCCCCTTTCTGTGGGTCCGGGGGGATTGTAAAGGGCTGGGACTGCAGCCACAGCGTGCTGGTCCGATGTTACTGGCATTGCCATACAGCTGACTGCCGGGATGGTTCTGTGCTCAGCCGACGTGGCATGTTAGCCAGCTGGCCGTGTGCGACCGGAGCAACCCACAGAAAAGAGCCCTGACATGGAGGCAGCAATCAGCAAAAAGCTTCCTCCGGTGCCAGCTGAAATCGATCCCTCCTGCTGTTAGTGAGAGGAGCTTCTGGCCAAAGGCTTTTTCCATTTCCTAATGGGTCAGCTCCCGAGTCCCTAAGAACTCCTGATTTCTTGCAGGCCAGGGATGAGGAGCCGGGGAGACACAGAGCTTTATTTATTAATAAGTGGTGCTCTGCACTGCCCTGCTCCCACCTACTTTGTCTGGTCAGAACTCCAGTGCATCCACCTGCCACCGGAAACCAGTCTGGGGTTGTTCTCTTTGAAAAAATTCTCATTAAGACCAATCCATACAGCCTTTACTTTATCCTCAGAACAGCAGGTCTTGCCTTCCCAGCTTTTGTAGAAGGTCTCCGAGAACAGGCTGAGGATGAGGACCAAGAGTTTTATTAGCACTTATGGGAAGGGGTTGAAATTTTAAGAGAGAATGCCTTTCTCCCAAGTGTTTGTTGGGCATTTCAATTAGCTAGGCGGGAACACAAACTAGAATGTAGCACCCTCTCGCCTGTCCCCATTGCTCAGGGTCTCACTTCTTTGATGTGTGTGGTGTCCAAATCCTGCCAGGTCTCCTAGGAAAAACTTGGGGGGGAAGCCCTGTAGCTCTGACGCAAAAAATGCTGAAGGGAACTGGCCTTCAAGGGATTTAATACACTAAAATGGCAAAATAAGAGCTCAGACCCAACCTTTCCTCGTGGCAGGTGACCTCCAATGGCGACTTTGCACACGGCCAGGAAAGGGGGATATTTCACATGTGGAGCGACGGGTGGAAGGCTTCCAGGCGGGAATGAGGAACCGCAGGACTCCAGAGAACTCTGGGGAGCCCCTTGAAGGGTGGCAGGGAAGGTGTGGAGGGGAAGCAAAGCTGGGATAGAGAGTTCTTCCAGGGAGCTAGGCAGGGATCCATTTTGGGAGCTGGGGACTGGGATGGGCAGCCCTGGAGGGGGAGCCGGGTGGGACATACCCTGTAGATGCCACATTTCACAGGTGTCTAAATACAGCTGTTGGGACTATTTCTTGTATCCTTTCACCTGTGAAGGCTACCCCCCCCCTGAAGCCGTGCTAAGCTCAGAGGGAAAGGGGAATTATAACTGAGTGCCCATGCCCAGGGCTAGGAGACAGCCCTGGGACTCCCAATCCAGTGGGTTGCAGGCTCCCATTTCTCACCCTGGTGGGGGCTAGATTCTCCCCAGTGGGGTGCGCAGGCTCCTCCTGAGGCGAGGGTTGCCAGATGGTTTCAACAAAAATACCGACACACTTGCCACGCCATCACAATCGACATTCTACCTGGTTTAGCAAATCCCGGACAATTGTTTTCTCCCAGTTCTATTGTCTCAGTGTGTTTCCTGAACAGAAAGCTCAAATACTGGACTGTCCAGTTCAAAACCGGACCCCTGGCGACCCTACCTGAGGCCAGTGGGAGCCGGGGCAGGCTCAGTAGCAGCCCTGGGTGGGTGCAGGCCCCTTAGAGCAGCGTCACTTTGTGAGCAGGGAGTCGTGAGGAGGGGAATGTGGCTCTGGGGGCTGCTGAGGCTGCTTTGGGGGCTAGGTGGAGAGCGGGGCCAGGGTGTGAGGGGGGAGGTGAGGGCGTGACACTTCAGAAGGGCCTGAGGCTCTCTCCATGCAATGGGTCTGTCTCCAGTGCCCACAGGCCCCTCCTGAGGAACCGTTTCTCTCCCCTCTCCTGTTAAGACCTAGACAGTTACCGCTTGTGCATGTGAACACCAGTGGTGAGCAAGGGGCTGTGGCTGTGTCACTCCTGCTTCCCACGAGCCAGGGGCTGGCTGCCTGGGTCTGCACCTCGCTGGCCGGCCTGCGGTCCCAGACGAGTGAGGGCAGACAGGGAGCTCTGTCAGCGCCCCTGGATTTCTGTTTCATCTCCTTCCCCTGCTTCTGCCACCCCCCGGCTGCTCCCTTACCTCACGGAAACCCCAGCCAACCCAGCCCCAGGCACGGCGCTCAGGAGACGTGAGGGACCATCGAGCTGTGAACGGACCCTCTTCCTCCCTGCTCCATCTCTAGCGCCGATTCTACCTTCATTTAGACCGTGCTGAGATTAGTCCTCCGAGGGCCGGTTTGATGTGGTGCCTGTTCAGGTGCTCAACACCCAACACACTCCTCCGCATCCCGTTTGGAAGTGGAGAAAGGCGTAACAACGCACTAGCTGGAAGTTGAAACCAGACCGATTCAGATGAGAAATCAGGGACAAATGTTTAACTGTGAGGAAGATAAACCTGGGAACAAACCTCCAAGGAAGTGACAGATTTGCCCTCTCTTGTTTGCAGCTGCCGACCGGCGCCTCTCTGGGAGAGAGACATTACCCAAACACATTTAATGGCCTCAAAACAGAAATAACTGGGTGAAATTTAATGACCCGAGTTAGGCAGGAAGCAAGACTACCGTATATTCCGGCGTACAAGACAACTTTTGATGTTAAAAAACATCCCCCAAAAATCGGGGGTCGTCTTGTACGCCGGGTATACATCCCAGGCGCGCCTGGGATGCCCCGCCGCCGGCTTCCCCCAAGGCTTTGCAAAGCTGCTGCGGCTTTGCTCCCGGTGCCTCTGGTCTGCTGGGGACCGTCTCCAGCAGACCAGGGACACCGGGAGCAAAGGAGGCGGAGGGGCGCTGGGGTATAAGATGAAACCCTATCTTTTAATTAAAAAATTAGGGGGTCGTCTTATACACCCAGTCGCCCTATACGCCGGAAAATACGGTAGATGACAAACGGTCCCTTCTGGCCTTAACCTCTAAGGATTTACACTTTTATTACATCCTCCTTCAGTGTCACATTGTGCTAATGGGGTTTTCTTCTCTCTTGGTTTTCAGCTCCACCTATCACCATGATATGGGAGAATCGCACTGAACAGCACCACTCTCAAGTTACACTTACGGTATTTTTTTCAAAACAACGTCTGCGCGACAGCTTAGCCTGGTTCCGTTTTCAGCTACCACCTCTTATTTCAAGTCCGAGCTGGTGTCGACATTAGAGAAATATGCTCTCATGTATTATCTATATTGTTTCCATTTTCCAGGGCAAACCACTAATGGAGCTGGAAGACGTGGGGTGTTTTTTTTTCATGGGAAAGGGTTTTTTTCCTTACAAAAATGTTTTTTGGGCAGCACGCCTGCTAACAAAAACAGCCATGCCATTGAGAATCCTCAATTTGAATTGGGCCTAATTTGAAACAAAATAGTTTCAGCTGTTTCTCCACCCTTTTTCTACCCCCAAATACCCGTAAAATACTGCAAGTCGGTTGTGCCCACGAAAGCTCATGATGAGAGGATGGATTGCACCCTCAGCAAGATCGCAAGTGACACTAAGCTAGGAGGAGAGGTATATAAGCTGGAGGGCAGGGATAGGGTCCAGAGTGATCTGGACAGATTAGAGGATTGGGCCAAAAGAAATCTAATGAGGTTCAACAAGGACAAGTGCAGAGTCCTGCCCTTGGGTTGTAAGAATCCCCAGCATTGTTACAGGCTGGGGCCCAACTGACTAAAAAGCAGTTCTGCAGAAAAGGAGGTGGGGATAACAGTGGATGAGGAGCTGGATATGAGTCAACAGTGAGTCCTTGTAGCCAAGAAGGCTAACCACATATTAGGGTGCATTAGGAGGAGCATTGCCAGCAGATCCAGAGAAGTGATTATTCCCCTTTATTCAGCTCTGGTGAGGCCACAGCTGGAGTATTCTGTCCAGTTC